TCTATCCTGATATAGAGGCGCTGCACTGCTGCAACCATTATATATACCGAGCAGGGAAATTCTCTCAACCACTCTCTCACTTTCGACACGCTGAGAACTCTGGAATGTCCTTTCATATTCTCCTTCTCTTTTTAAAGTGCATGCCTACACATACACGCATTCTCCTTTGCTATCTCCTGCCCTCTCATTCTTTTTTCTTGTTACTTCGGCTGCGTGCTCATCACTTCCGTGTCCAGCTCTGGCGTCTTCACGACGGCACCCCAAAAAACAAAAGCGCCGCAGACAATTGATCTTTTACATAGATTTGCAGCTGTTTTATTTAACATTTCCGACAATTATACTTTGATCGTGCATCTCTAAATGATTATTTATTGAATTTATTTTTTCAGAATCACCTCTATTAATAGGACTGCGTGAAAAAATGCAAGGCTATTGTGTTTCGATTTCTTTTTCAAAAGAGCTTGTATGCACTTTCACGCCGCGGTGACGGAGCATGTCTTTGCAAAAGCGAGGAAAAAATCCCGTTTCAGTCGACAATAGCCGCGAGAACGGCAAACGAAATGAATCGGGCAGCTCGCGAAGATCATCGTGACAAGGTGTTCCACTCATTTTTTTTTTTTTTTTTTGAAAAGCTGCTTTGTTCTGTGTTGGCAAGTGGCATAATCGTGATGATTCCTTAATAGATGCTTTGACGGCGCGCGCGTCTCCTGCTGTGAAAATCAATTTGCGCGGGATTAAGAGGTGCGCGCTCGTGGCTCACCATTTGCAAATGAAAGCAAACGGGCTCTTGAGAGACACATATAGACAGAGTGAGAGAGGAACTGGGTTAATTATCAAGCAGTAGTGTTTGACTCTCGCGGACAATGCAATTGCCTCGAGCGCCCGCAGGATAAAGATGAGAGACCGCCGCAAGCGCGAACCCGACCTTATTGTTGTTGCTCATCTCTACCCGCCCACTCGCATGTTTTCGTCTTTTCTTCACAGCTGCCTGCCGTACCGACACTCCTTCGTGCCTAACATTGCTTCGTACGCTCTACTACATTCTAAGATTCGTTTCAAGAATTCATTTTATCGATCGACACTACACATTTTATTGCCTTATTTTAACTTCCATTATTAGGTTATACTGTTCTATCTTCGTCACGTTGTGCCACTCGTACTTTCAATTTTAATTAGCAAAAAAAAGCAAAACTCTAATTACCTAGAGAAAACTGACAGCCAGGTGAATTAAACAGAGAGATAACAGACAAAATATTGAACATTCAAAGCTCGCTTGAGCTCTTCAATTATTTTCTTGACCGTTATATTATAAAAAAAAGAGCCGAATAATCGATGAAACGTACATTTCGGCCCAACGTTTCGATGCAAAAAAAAGTACTGGTAGCTCAAAACAAACAGTGCAGTCCGTGTGCAATGTGTGCAATCGATTTTATGCTCACGCACGCTCTGATGATTTTTGTAACGATGCATTTAACGAATAACACATTTTTTTATGTAAAAATCCTATCATCCCGGTGACTAACGAGTCGCACAAAATCATACATATGAATAATAAGCACGTGTATTTCCGAATAATGACGAATAAGTATGTTGTGATGAACGAGCTAACGAAAAAATTCGAATTAGCTACGATTGCATCTCCAAAGATATTAAAGAAGAAAGCTCTCCAGTGAATCTGTAGTGCAAATCTTTGGGTAGTTACTAATTGGTTTGGCTTATATCTTTTCAACGCAAATCGCCGGGAAGAGAGATCCGTTGAGTGGCAGGATCCGTCGGAAATGCGGGACACGGCTAGCTACCTATATCCCCCTGCTCCGTCTTCCGGCACTGCAGTATAGAGAGAGAGTGAGCAGCGTACACGAGCGCGGAACACTTACCAATCCATTAATCGAGCAATCGCGCGGGCAATCCCTAGCACCCGTCACCTGTACACCCAAACGATTGCCACCGGTGCACCTGCACCTAGCTGCACGCTATCTCGTCACATATTATTTTCGGAAAATATTACAATTCACGTTTGAATTCGATTATCGGCGAATTGGTTTTCATTAGATTTTGCACTCATTCACCAAAAATTGATCGGAAACTTAGTAGGAGTAATGAATTCCAATGCTAAATATTCAGTGTTAATCAAGCGCCATCGATATGATTAAATTACAATTGAATAATCGCGCATGAATTGTAAAACAGGTATGATGTCGGTCGATTACTTACAAAAAGAGTAGAACCACTATCGATTTTCACATTTCTTAATCGCTTAATGTCGTAATCGATCGTACGACAGCTGAAAAAAAGAAAGTCATTAACGAAGCACTTATAAAATAGTAAGTTGGCACAGGTGTGAGGCTCGATAATGAAAAGCGAGCGTTTCTCCTGGGGCGTACGAGCAAAAGGGGGTGGCAACTTGTGCAATCAATTACGCGAAGAATTTGGCGGTGATCTTAGCACCTGTGAAACTTATCCGTGTCAAAATTAATAAACGAGCTCACGCGCGCCCAACTCGACTCTAACGTGCTAGAAATCACTATTGCACGCTTCACTGTACGTGCGCGCGTGCATTAAATGATTTTCGCGCGTCCCGTTAATTGGGTCGCCTATATAACTTTGAGCACCGGACTCCCTCCCTCCTGCTGCTCTCGTGGGTGTGTGCGCGCACGCGCGCGCTTGTGTGTGCTAAGGTCCTATTAAGGTTTTTCAAAACGGACGCGCGAGCGTGTAATATTAATAGATTTTATAGACAGCTACTGTGGCGAGGGTAATTAGGCCTTGACTCTTTATACTCGAGAGATACTGGCACAGAAGCCACGTCACTTTTGATTAATAACTAGCGCAAGTTCTAACGATCAACGTTAGGTCCAATTCTTTAGATAACGTTTTGCTTCCTTCTCATGCGACATCGATATTTGCTTACTGATCACTGCAGCTTAAGTTTGATTAGCGTTGTTGGATGCGACACTAATTAAACAAAAGGAATATTTGCTGAGTATGTATTTTGAATTTGTGAACGTTTGCACTTTTGAAATTAAATTGTTCTTTGGATGTGAGTTGTTGAGATTTGATGTATCCGAAAAACGACATATTATTATTAATAGCATGTTACCAATACATGAAAATACGATTAAAAAACTCGGTAAGAATAAAAAATAAAAGATAAAAAGTAAAAAACTAATGGTTATTCTATTAATTATTTTTTTTAATAAATAAAACTGAATATTACAACAATTTCGATCGTTTTCTCAGTTCTCAAAAGTTATTTTTACCTTTTACTTATTTTCATTCTACCATTAGAATCTTTTGACAAGTATAAAAACTCATTGCAGTCATCGAATGTATAGGGCGATGAGACCCCACATAATTGCCTAAAATTATTGAATCAACATGGCCCTTTACCGTGCTCTCAATTAATCAAATTGGTCGAAAGTGAATGTTTGACAAGGGCTTCCGACGTACATCTTGCAGAAGACTGTGTCAAGCTCGTAAACAAGCGATCTCGATCGGTAGTACGCCAAATCAACATTCCACCTCTTCAAAGCGAATCTAAATCCTCCCCCTACTTTTATTCCAGTCTCTCGATCACCGTTGTCGCTACTAAAGCTTAGTATAGGTGACGATAAGTGGGCGAAGCCCGACGAGACATCCAGAGAAGCTGAAAAGGAGGAGGAACAAAAGGTTCTCTCAGAGCCAACTATATATCTGTATATATATGTTCGCGCTTCATCCATTGAGCAGATTAAAGAATAAGAGAGGTTCGGCGCTACTGCCTTTGATCTCTTCTCACTAGCCTCCGCAATGTACAGAGGTGCGATAAAAGCACATGTAGTACGTAACAAAAGCTGCAAAGCGCTATCCAACCTGTGTACTTTTTCTTTGCACGAACCGCGAGGCCGAGTTTTGTTAATCTAGCGGCTTTGTATATATATGAAATTGCATTTACGGATTGAATTTCTGCGCCGGATGTGAACTCGTTTATTTGGCTTGTGGATATTGATTTCAACGCCGACAACGGCAAAAAAAAAAACAGTTATAACGTAATTGAATCACGTTTGGATCCCTTTATGATCTTTTTTTTTAATTGTTGTTTTATCTTTGATGAAGATCGGACGTTTGTTGTAATTTGAAAACGTTTTTGTGACATTTATTTGTTTGTGCGCAGCACTGTGAGAAATTCAATATTGTACGCATGTATTTTGTAAAACAGCACATTGCGAGACATCCAAGAGTATTGACACGTGTTTTGTAAAATAGCGATCTCCGATATTTGTTCCAGGTGTCTTTCATTCGAAACGTTTTGACAGCAGTTTCAGAATGAATTTATTTTTATTTGCGAGTTCTAAATTCGCTATCATTATCTTCATTCATTAGAAACACAATTATAGACTTTTCCACGCCATCGAAACAACTTAACTCTCTAAAAATATATTTTGAAATATGAATAGTACGCTTGCCTTTGCCAATATTTTAAGCGGGTTCATTATGTACGTTAATTAATAAATGATAAATAATACTGGATTGGCAAGCTTTTGAAGGCTAGAAATAATTATGATGTGGATTTCTCAGAGAAAAATAAAATAAATTTCGAGCTACTTAAAAAAAAAAGCGATTAAATTGGAATGATATAGGTTGGCATTTGGAAATAAAAAAAGATAAAGCACCGTTCGAGTTGCACTTGGCGACTTTTGCTAGTTGCGAGTGTACACGTGCGCGCGCGTGGAAGGCTTACGAACTGATGCGAAGGCACTCTGCAGCACGACAATAATCCTAGGCGTTGCGCGAGGAGCTTTTATATCGCCGTCGCTTTGCTCTCGAAAAAAAAGCACGAGGAGTGCGCCACGCGCAGTTGCCGCATGCGGCGAGTTAGCTTTTTCTTTTGAGCGAGTGTCGGCGGCGCCAGTGCGTCGTAAAAATCTCCGCAAGAAAACGGCTTTACCGTGAGTTGCTTGCTCATCACGGCATAATGTGGAAATTATATCTGGCTAAAGGGGCACGCATATTATACTCACGAGGAATGCTCGAATTGACGCGAGCATGACCCGACCGGCTTACGCTCGATTAATCGCTTGCCGGCCGCTTTCGTGTCCGTCAATGATCCTTATCTTGCCAATGCGCCGCACTCGACTGTTAACAGGCACTTGCACTCAGACACTCACTGCCCTTAGCGTTACTTGTGTAAAGAAAACTATCACTCTCGCGAGGTAAACCTTAACAGTTGATTTTCCTTTCAAGGCTGCTCCCAATTCGTGCTAAGAGTTTCCATCACTCGCGAACTTACAGTATGAAAAAAGAAAAATCCGTAGAGCCGCATAGAGATTAACAATTAGCGAAGTACCCTGCTGACGGTCAGCGATAGATGAATATAGCAATACCACTGTGTACAGTGTGCGAAGCACACGAGGAGGGTGCACAGACAGCGAACGAGGGTTGCGCGGCGTCGGCGCACGATGTGGCCTGCTCGAGGTTCGCCGCGTGAATGCTGCTAAAGGCGCGCTCGCCCGCTCTCTCTCTCTCTCTCTCTCGCTCTCGTTTCCTCTCGTTGGCATGACGCGCGCGCACCACCACTTTGGACCGCGTGCGCGCCCGGCCGTATACCGTACACAGTCCCGCCAATGTTCGCTCATCCGCATCCCTCAATCCCGTTGACGCTATCTGTCCGCGAGATCCTCTATTTGTCTATCTAATCATTTTCGATTTACTTGATCGTACGTAGCCATTGACTTTTTTAGTTCTCCATCTGGTCAAAGAAGTTTTTTGAGATGCTTGCATTTGCAATTGAGTTTGCATTATACTGAATAATGCGTGATTAAACGGAACCAAAACTATACTTATCAAGGGACACATTATTATTGTTGTTATTATTATTATCATTATTATTATTATTATTATTATTATTATTATTCAATGATTTCAGCGTAAAGCAAACGCCTACCGAAAGCTAGCCGTCTTAAACAATACACTGTCATTTCGCACTTTTGGCTGTTATCAAAACTTTGGCGAGTACTGGCGACGCGGCGTCGTCGGCTTTCTGCGTCTGTATAAGCAACCCTGGAGCCGCGCTGTCGTTCATCGATCCGGGTAGATGCGTTGTTTTTTCTCTCTCTTTCTCGCTGTTTCCGCGGAACATCTTTTACCTCGGAATAAATCTCAGCTCCGAAATTGTGCTTTTATGGTGATTTTACGAGGTTTCAATCTTGTTTGTCTTATATAAAGACTTGACAGTCATTGTTGTAAGTTCAAATATAAGAGTACAACAATCATGTACAAAAACTGTATGATTTGATTTATAATACTTAATAGTAATTGACGGCTATTTCGTCAAACATTCTGCGATTTTCCTGGCAAACAAACATTCTACTTTCGGAGATGAGTTGAAAGCAGAAATAACATGATTGTATTGTACTGTTGATAAATATTATACTGTACGAAAAAATAGTTTAAACTTCTAAGTTTTCACTTTCTTGAACTATTTACATACTTATTTTAATAATATAAATGACTTCCAGTTGAAGTCTTTCGAGTTGAACAATATTTGCTTGAAAGAAATAATACAGTGTGTTTGGGTCATAGCTATTGCATGGTTGCTAGTACCGTTTTTGAACGTGTGTGTAAGTATACGGCCGTTCGCTCAGGCGAGTGTAGATGTTTTGATTTTGAGTCTAGTTAATCCTCGATCGCTATCCTAAAGAGTGAATATGAAACGCAAGTGTGATGTCCAACCAACCTTGCTTTTTGTATAACACATATGGTCTTGAAGACTGGTATTTATTTGCTGTTTAAATCATTCGCCTATCATCAATTACTTTTCCGACAAAAAATTAGTCATGCTATCGAACACAGTAAACTAAGAAAATTTAAGAACTTGCGTACAGGGAGATAAATTTTGAGAAACCATTTAAGTCTTTATGAAGAAAGCCACCTTACTATATTCTGAAAAGTTAATCGATCCCTAGATATCAAATTAGCATTATTATTACAATGTGTTTACAAGGTAAGAGAAATTTGGACTGCCGTCAGCCCGCAAAGTTCGCATTATGCTTTAGTACATTTGCACCCTACAGTTGCATCGACAATTGCACACTGTGCGCCCTCGTAAATATACAGAGAATTTTGGTTGATTTGAATACCGATATGGATTGTTGATGTACTCGTATACAGGAACGATACACAACGAAAACACAAACTTGCACCCCTACCCTCCATCTAGTATCCTTCCTACAGTCAATAAATGGAAAGTTGTGACAGGTGAATTGACCAGAGGATATTATTAATCAACCGGCTTTTTACGGATTGTTCATTCATTAGTCAATGACTATTTTCAAAATTAAATCGTTTTTTCTAATACAAACATCTAAAATAAAATGCTGAATAGAAAAAAAGAACGATAATTTCAATTTTCCATCTGTCATTTTTGATATAGTATATAATATAATATCTGTCATATTTAAAATATGAATTCTATACATCTAAAACTACATAGGTAGGCATAGCACATGCAAGACTCACAAAAGCTACGATTCACATGACACCAAAAAACTAGTGTACCCTATTCCCAAAGTGCTATCAAACTAACACCGCCGGCGATTTTCGAGGATGACCATGTATATAAGCATCGCATAAGCATATAATAATAATAGAGGTAAAGCGCTGTACTACGATAAGCACCAAAAGTGCCAAGGCAGCAACATTTAGTTGCATAAAGTTCGAGCTGACCCTCGTGTGAAACGCGTGTTTGCATAAAAGCTGCTATATTTTTATCAGAAACAGATCTTCGAATGTCCTTTTGCCACCCACGCAAACATTTATGTATGCCGTTCATTTAAATATTATTAATACTATATTTAACTAAATCGGCATCAACTCAATCGATTCATTCAGTGCACTAAAAATACATCTCAATTAAGTATATCAAATGTAGCATGACAAAATCAAGGTGGATTAAAATCCATTCATTAAAGCATAAATGCTATATGTCTACAAATGTGGTAACTTTAACATAGAAAATTTATTTAAAAAATAATTTTTATTTAATTGTTTAATTTTTAATATAAGTATTTTATATGCCAGCCTATATTAGAACACCCCGTACTTCTGTTTGCTTTGAAGTACTTATTTTCTATATCTTTATTTACTGAGAATTAAATTTCAGTCAATACAATTTATACGAAATGTTAATCTGGAATGATTCGAAACGTAGCTACACATAAACATTTGTACAATGAGATAATGATTTTATAATTTTCCAAAAGTGTTTTATTTTTATGTTACAGTGCATAATCGATCTTATAGGGTTATTCTGAGAGATTTGAATAATATTATCAGAAACTTTACATTATACAAATTTAATTAAAAATTTAACTTCAATTCTTTAAAGTTAACTAATAATATTATTCATTAATGGAGAAATTTCACAACTTCAAATTTATATGAATTATCACAATTATCGTACACAAAATATTATATTTGTGAATTTACGTAAATTTTTATATAATAAAAAATATGTAAAATATCAGTAGAATTTAGTTCATTTTCAAAGATAATACTTAAAGAATTGTCCATGTACTCGTGATAATTATCATTCTTTTATCAAAGATGTTCAACTGTTTTCTTCAGTAACGAATCAAAATTTTTCTTGAAAATAAATAAGAAATTCTTTAAGAAAATTATTGATTAAACTATAAATTTAATAATCTCTCTGACCGGCATGAACGCAGAGATAAAAAAAATTTTTTCAGAGATCTATCGTTCCTTTGTACTGAAAACTAAAAACATAAAAGAATATATGATTTAGTGGGTATATTTTCTTGTATAAATGTGTGTCCACATAATTCAACATTAGTATTATTTAGAATGAAAAATTACTTTGTCATAACACAAAATGAAAAATACGAAAAATACGAAAATCGAAAAATGATACATTTCTGTATAACTATGAGTCGTAACTTCAAATCATAAAATATAAGATTTTTTAAAATGAAAATTAGAATAAAATGCATATCTAACACAATTTTTTTCATATACTTCAATTTCAATAAAGAGGGCTTCGTCTTACCAAAATCGAATTACAGATCGAATAAGATCATTTTTTAAAAGATGTAACATGAATTTTATAAAACTTAAACAATTCTGTAGTCAATTTTGTTGAGATTATTCAGTTTTCTAATTTTTTAGACGAATATTAGATTAGATGGTGGTTCACCTGCTTTGGACATGTATAAAAAGCACCTAAGTATGTTGAAGGCAGCTTAGATTTTAACAAACAAATTTGTATGCTTTAACTAGTATCTTATAATGACCAATTAGTCATTTGCATCGTAAAGTGTATTTAGAATGTCGCTAAAGGAGGAATCAAAAGCATAATATGAGAATTATTTATAATATACTACATGATATTATATATAATCTTAAAATGTATATAATGCGGAAGTATATTCCATTTATACAAAATTTCATACAAAATTTGACTTATATGTATACATGTAATAAATGAGTACATATTGTTGTTAATGACAAAATAAATGACCAGCAGTCAATTTATGTATACAATTTTCACAAATTACATATTATCCTAAATTATATATAACATTTTGTGATTATACGTAATATTTCGTAAATTATACATTATACTAAAATCATTCAAAGATTATATGTGACATTTAATACAATTTTGTGTAGATATATATATCTATAGATAATCTAATCCATAATGCTAGAAACAATTTTTCTCTTTAGTCATCTATTGATTATTGAATTTTTGCGCCCTGCGCAGATTTCTGATGTATCGACTTGTTGATAAATATTTTAGTCTCGTATTTTCAGAGAATGAAAAAGTTTAAATCTCCCGTCCATAATTTTTGGTTTTATACGTAATAAGTATTCATTGTTAAGAACTTTTTCAGTATATAGCTATAGCTTTATTATTTCTGGTCTTTTACATTTGATAGGTAAAGCGACATCTTTTGTTATTATTATGTACTACAGACATAATTACTGTACCGATGGAGCATTGATCCCTTTTTCTAAGCGATTATAGCGCCTCCACGCGATGCGCACTATGGCACGCGCAACAATTTCGCAGGCATACGGATGTGTGTGTGTGTGTAATGTGAGTGTGTGTACATATCAACCGCATGTTCGATCGGCACAACAGCGACGCAAAGTATAAGTACTACAGTAGTGTCAGTGTTAGCTTGAGTACGAGTAACAAAAAAAGGATAAAACTCCTATTTGCAGCACACCACGTTGTTGGTGACACGTCAACGCGTACACGCGCGTTTGCATGTGTTAAATTACAAGTTGTACGTATATTTACACACGCCGCTAGAGCCAGATATTAATTATCTTTTTATCCCTACACATGATCGTAAGATCCGTATGTGATAGTCGCAAAGGATATCCTTTCACGCAGAATCGAAAAAACCACTGTGAGTACACACTCAACAAGTGTCCAAGGTGCACAAGATCGAAACTCGTAAAATATATCATAGGATCAAGTGAATAATTGTAAAAATATGGATTGTCATAGACCACGTGCTCTTGAAAATTAAAAATTATCTTGGCAGTGCGTGGCATTCCACGCAATATGAGGAAAAGTCGGACTGCGGGGGGCGAACATGGCATTAAGAGGAAGCTGTGATACCATCGACCGTAACGTACGGGACCGTATAGATCAATAAATTTAGATTCGAGAGAAGTATAGATGCTTTCTTCTCAAATAGTTCGTCATTTTTATTTGGAAGCTACTAATGACGTTACGAACTTAGAATGGAGTACGTTTTGCACAAAATTATTTATTGTTGCCTTTTGATCATCGGATCTCTTTTCATTCATACGTCTTCTACAAAGGTGATAAGTATTTTTAAATTTAAACATTTGAATAATTAATATTCAAAATTTCATATAAAAATGTATTTCTTCTTATTGTAAAAAAAGGTACATCATTTGGAAGACAGAAAATTTGCTTCCGCTGAATATTTAGACCCAGAGATTGACGAAAGAGATATTGGTCCTGAACTTCCGATTTCCCCATTAGATCAACCGTTTTATAAAAAGGCCAGCCTATTCATACCGCCGCGAAATAGTTATCCTGACAAATTAAATCCAAGTGAGTAATAGATTTTTATAATGTAGAAATTAATGACTAAATTTATAAACAAGCATAATAATAGTAGCAAAGATATTGAGCATAAATGAAAATAGGAAATAAAATAAATAAGACGCATTTCATAAAAAATTATTATTTATACACAATGAATGTCGTCAAGAGATTCCAACGGACTTAATTTACTCTGTTAATGAAAAACCTTGAAAACTTCTCTGCGTAGTTGGTAATGCCTTTGAGCCTTGTACTCTATGAAACCGAAAAAAAGCGCGAAATTTTTAATTTTTCTATACATGGAAATAATAATTGTATTATATATCTCGAAGTGAAAAATTTATATTTCAACAGTAAATTAAATTTACGAATAATTAATATAGGTAATAATCTACAAAAATTGAAATATGTTATTAATAAATGGTTGGTGATTTACTAGTCGTCGATTATGGTTTTAAAAGAGAATAAGGCTATGATGCTACGGAATTACCAACTAAGCAGAAAAAGGTTTTTAAGATTTTTCTTTCTCTAAATGAATTATTTCCATTGGAACCTCTTGAGGACATTCATTGTGTATAAATAAAGTGCTATCAACTATTATTTTCATAAAATTAAAAGCAAGTAGAACATAAACTCTGATTTACTGTGAATAGTTTTTGTTTTTTTTATTAGTACCAAAGATTTTTTTGTCGAAATAATAGTTGAGTGCATGTTATTTACGTACAATGAATATTCCAAAAAATTTTCAAAGTTCCAAAAAAGTTTTAATTCTTTTGTGAGAAAACCTTAAATTATCTTTCTTTACTCAATCGGTAACGCCATTGAGCGTTAAAAACAATAAGAAAGAAACATAATCGAGTGTAGGTTCCTGTATATTTTTTCAATAATTAGAATGTTAGAATGCTATTTAAAAAAAGTGACGAGTCACCAATATCCAACGTTGTAATTAGTTGATGCGAAAAAAATGCAAAATTTTTAATTGTCCTATACTTTAATAACAACCTTCAGCCAACAAGAATTGTTCCCAAAATATTGCCAAAACATTTTTCTGGAAACATCGCAACATTTCTACAACATTTTGGCAATTTTTTTGGAAACGTCCTTGAAACATAAAACAAATATACGTTTTATTCTATATATAAAATTTTGAGTATTGACCACAGAAATTTTTGTTTTATCAATGTTTTAATGATGTTTTATTAACATTTCAAAAAATGTTGCCAAAATGTTGTAGAAATGTTTCCGCAAAAATCTCGTTAACTGAATTAAATACTTTGTAATGTTTTAGAAACGTGCCTAAATGTTGCAGAAAGGTTCTTAAACGTATGTTATAACAACATTGTGATAACGTTCAGAAAACTGATTTCAGCAACATTTTGGCAACACTTGGCTTCAAACAGGTCGACATTTGATCATTTCGAAAACATTGTTGCAACATTTTTGACGGTTGCCGGAAAAGTTGTAATGTTTCCAGTAAAATATTTTGATAACATTTTAAAAACAATTCTTGCTGGCTGGGACTGTATTATATATCTAGAAGTATTTGTATTTCAGCAGGAAATTTAGTTTACGAATAATTAATATAGGTCAAAATATACAAAAATTGAAATATACCGTTAATAAATCGTTTTAAGAAAATAAGAGGTTATCTTTTCAAATTTCAATAATTAGTATGAATCAATAATTTGATTACCATCTATGAAATTAAGAATGCCATCTTCAAATTTGATTGAAAGAGAAAAGTGAATGGAACAAATTGGAAGAAATTACATTTTTATTTTTTTATATTGTAAAGATATAAGTATGAAATTAATTATTAGAATATAAAATTTGAAGAATGTTTAAGGGTGTTTTTCCATGAAGTAACAAAATAACATACGATGTTGAAATGTATTACTAATACTAATATAATACTAAGTCCGTAGAAAACTACTGTTATTGAGTAAAGTCATGGTTGAATGATACAAGCAATTTAATAAATAATAGAAAAACAACGAAAAAGCGCCCGAAGCACATTAAATTACGTTATTATATTATATGATAAATTGCTCACGTAGCAAAACATAGCGACAAATATCTAAAAATAAATCTTATCGCAAATGTCATACGATAGATCAGAAATGATAACAAACAAAGGATCTTATAGATGAGTTACGAAAAATAATTTTAGTAGAAAAATATAATCTATTCTTTGTTTTAGTATGTGTATTGGTATTGGAAAAACTAATTTTTAAGTTTTCATTATTTACTTTCATTATTATTCTTTGAATAAATGTATTTTTACCTTTTTTTTATTTATAGCACTACCTTCAAGCTGATTAAGTATTGTTGTTTTCCAAATAGACCATTTAATAATGTAGAAAATGACATAAATGCTTTAGATGTTTGTATATCTAAATTTTTCAATTAAATTAAACATCTTTGCAGATATAAAGTGGGACTCTTCATGGGCTTCAGATTTAGACTTTGGACAAATATCAGCAGTGTCTATAGACCCAAATGGAAATGTTGGCATATTTCATAGGGGAGAACGAATTTGGGACTCCTCAACTTTTGGCACTGATAATAAATTTAATATCAATAGAGGACCTATACGACAAAATACAATTATGCTGTTAGACAAGACTGGCAAGGTGCTACTAGAATGGGGAAAAAACATGTTTTTTCTTCCTCATGGTTTAACTATAGATAATTTAGGAAATTATTGGCTTACTGACGTGGCTATGCATCAAGTGTTCAAGTTTGATGGCAAAGATATTGAAAAACATAAACAGCAGCTTAAGAGGCAAAGATATAGTCAACATAATAGCGCATCCGAAAAATTTGATGTTAAAAATTTATTTGCAAATAGCATTATAAAACCCTCGCTAAATCTCGGTGAAGCGTTTCAACCAGGAAATGATAACACTCGATTCTGTAAACCTACAGCAATAGCGGTTCTAACAAATGGAGATTTTTTCGTTAGCGATGGTTACTGTAATTCCAGGATTATTAAATTCAATAAAGATGGTGAAAGAATTCTGAAGTGGGGTAGATCATGGGCACTTGATCGTAAGTAGTTTTTAGTTATAATATTTATTGAATTTTACTTTGTTTATTAATGTTTTTATTGTATTACTTTATTTTTGCATTTTTTATCTATATCAATTTAACTTTTTTGTTATTATATTCTATATCAAAAGAAGATAAATAATAATGTAAAATAGAAAATTGAATTGTTCATTTCAGAAAGAGTTTTAAGTAGCAATGAGCCCCCAAAAAATGCTTTCTTAATACCACATGCCCTTGCGCTTGCAGAAGAACATGATCTTGTATTTGTCGCTGACAGAGAAAATGCTAGGATAATTTGTAATCATGCCAGCAATGGGTCATTTTATAAAGAATATAAAAGTCCTATGTTAGGAGCTGCTGTTTATAGCATTGCATATGCTAACAACAAAATTTACTTAGTTAACGGTAACCGATATCTAGAAAACATGCATATTCGGGGATATGTTCTAGATATGTATTCTGGAGAAATTTTATCCCAATTTGCTCCAGGCATAGATATGGATAGTCCACATGATCTTGCTGTGACATCTGACGAACGGGAAATTTACGTAGTTGAGTTGAATTCGCACAAGATATACAAATTTAATCAAGGTCAATGTTTAACTAAAAATCGATGCAGAAATAAGATTTTACTTAATAATTTGTAATAATTATTTTACATATTTTTAGACTTAAAAGACGTTCCGTCGAATCCAAATACCAATAAAGATGATATGGAAACTAAGACTCTGAAGTATGAAAACTCGAATCGAAAAGAAAGAAAACCATCGCAAAGAGGCATTGTGATTGTGGCTATTATTGCCGCATTATTATTCATATGCTTCTGCATATTATTAGCAGTACTATTTGCAAGATATCAAAAAAGAGGTAGTCGTTTGTGTTACGATGAACCTAATGTTGAATTAAGTAAGCTAGTTGATGGATAGAAACACTAAATCTTTATGTTTATATTTTTTTATGAGCACTAGTACTTTTTGTATGTTTGTATTTTACTTAAATATGTGACTTGTAATATATGTGTTGGCAATTGACTTGTAAATATGTAAAATTTTACTATAGAATTATATCATAAGGCAGCTATTTTTTTATTTTTATTAGTACTCACTTTGTAAAACATTCTGCTCATCGAAAAATGTCTCTTATTTATAGTGTATTCATTTGTATGCAGTACATGTTTGTAGCCCCTTAGCAATTATTTATAAAATATTATTTTGCCCACTTTATATCGCATGTGATATGTTTATTTTTATCTTCTTTTGTGTTTCTTGTATGTGTGTTATCTCAATCATTGTCAACAACCATTGATAAATTTGAATACATATTCTTCAGTATAATTGCTTCATTTTCTGTATTCAATATTTTTTCTACAAATATCAACATGCATGAAACATTTAATATATTTCTTTAACAAGCAGGTTGTTTACTTCCACCTTACAAAAGAACAGAATGGAATGATGATCAAAACGACAACTTTAAACTCTTGAGCCTTTTGGGAAATCGTAAAAAATTCACAATGTTTGAAAACAGACCAAATACACGAGATTTCAGCAAAGTTAACACTGAACCTGAAACTTCAGAAGACGAGACTTTAGATAATGCTACCGAAAAAATAATTTAAATATAATATTGCAGTTAAAAAAGTTACAATACAAATTCCTAAAATATAAAATCAACAATTAAAAAGAAAAAATTTTTATACTAAATATTTCTATGTATACATTCTGTATACATTCTGGTATGTACAATCTATATTTTAAAACATGTTTATTCTAAAGCAGAATATTAAAAGAGTATATCGTTTCAAAATCATCGACATTTATTTTGAAAATCTATGTAACATATCATTATATACAAATTAAATATGTATTAAATCGTCTAGTATTGTCAAAATTATTTTTATAACTAAATAAATGCATGGAATTCCTAAGTTGGTCCCTTGTAATGATTATGTTTATAAGATATTTGTAATATATAATAGATTTTACCAAAACTTCACTTGTTAATGTAAGATACCATTTATTGAAGAAAAAAAATAGCCATTTTATGGAACAAAAATTATACCTATCACTGAAATTATAGAAAGTTCTTTTATATTAAATTTTTTTGTGTTTACTTGAATTGAATTTACACATAGAAATATAGATATAACACATGTTACCATTACTAATAATAAAATGGTTTAATTTTATTCTCAAAAATTTGAACAATATGCGACCGAATATTTTATTCTACGCATTTTTTAGGAATGTATTGAAAAATTTGCATATATTTGAAAATCAGACTACGGTCAAACAAAAGTTTGATCAGTTTTACAAATCTAGCATATATCTGTCTCTTTGTCTTCTTCGTAAAATGTATAAAATAATTTTTGTTGAATTTTGTTCTGTTGTTATGAAATATTAGAAATATGACTTGCGCGCGCGTGCTTGTGTGTGTGTGTGTGTGCGCGCGCGCGCATGTATGTATATATCAATTATCATATAAATGGTTGTTATGGGTGAATCATGTATCGACATCCGGAATGAAACACTTGAAGTATTACGAATATGAGTATAATACATTTTGATTTATCAATAAGTTGGAGAGATAACCATAAATAGAAAAATCAATTTAATCAATACGAATCTGCTTTTACGATTTGATATTTTATCATTTATTTCATAATACGTTTATTTAAATAATAAATCTCATAATTAATGTGTTAAGCCTTCAAAAATATATTCTAATAATTGAACACATCATTTAGAAAAAGTGCAATGACGTAATCAGAAAAAATGAACTTGAGATTGATGCGTGTGTGTATATAACAAATAGTTCATGGAAACGCTATTTATAGATATATAAATATTTAATTTCAGTTTTTATGTGACCAAACATGTAAAAATTACTGATTTTATGAGAATCCTAAAGCTATTGATAAGTTAATCGAATTATTTATGAATGTAATTATCGTAGATATTGTATTTTGTAACTAATGAAAATTATGTTACTAATGTAACGTTAATGTATTTGATTGTATATTTTGAATAAAAATAGATATTTTTTAAAATAATGCTACTCAGATGATTTCAATTGGTTACAATAAAAACATATGTAGTTTAAATATCTAACTTTGATCGCTGCTCCCACCTACCATAGTTTTCTCTTAGTTAAAGTTATGCTCGAGTAGTCCAGACAATATAAATAACTTTTGACGTTTCCTTAACAGATTTGTTAACTTCTTCAGAAACATTATTGTGAAAGAAACACAATGAAACAGAATGGAAAAGCAGTATGAAAAACAACTAGAAGACATCAACACAAGACATTTGTATTGATATGTTACAATAAATTTCCTGAAGAGGTTAACGAATCTGTTAATGAAACATCAAAAGTTATTTTCTTTCAGTATTGCTTCCACCGATCAAGCATAGTTAGAACTAAGATTAACATTTATAACGTCGTTAATTTAAACCCCTTTCTCAAAAAATCTATATACAGTACGTGATATCCAATTTAATTTCTTCATAAAATAGGCTTCTTTTATGCCTAACTGCTCTGAAAAGATTTTCAGCATGTTGATTATTGCGAAGAAAATATTGTTGTTTATTCAAAAAAATAATAGAAAATGTTCAAATATTTCAATAATGATTTATTTTACACATTCAGCTGACTTCTATACACAACTATACAACGATGAAAACAAAAGTTTCATAAATCATTCAATATCTTGCTATGAATAAAACGTGACAAGTCATCATATATCGAGCAATAAAAGCAATCAATTTTAGTTTACTGCTTTGGAACTACGTTTTGTGTTTTGGACGTACCACTTTTGTTCCTTATTTCATGTTCAATAAAATGAGCAAAATCTTCAATTTATATCATAAATTTAAACTCAATTTTGTTATATCAATTGTATTTGAAAGTCCAACAGTCAGTCTTGAAATAATATAATTCAAACAATTATATTGATTAAAATTATGTGTGCGATAATAAACTACAATTTATTTTCGGATACTATGCATCATAAAAACTAATGGAAATTTTTGTAATATAATTATGATATTGAAATACATCAATTGCATTTTTTATTGAAAAATTTAACCATTATAAGTTTTAATAATAGTGTAAATAATTAGAATCACGTGAATTGATACATTATTCATAATAATTTATTGATTACCAAAATAATTTCTGTTAATCTTCAATCTTCCAAATCACACAAATTAATTGATAACGATTCCTATTAAATATATAACAATATTGTTGTCAAGGTAGCTTACTATCAAATTTTGACCAAAAAACTAAAACAGTTAAAATGTATTCAAACGCTAGTATAAAAATTACGTAACATTAGAAAATAATTGTCAAATTAGAATAATAATTAATAGTCATATTTAAAACTAATTAACCGAAAGTTACTAAGAATTTATTTCTTCATGTTCAATAATATTTTAAGAGCTATTTTCTATGTAAGAGGTTAATAAATTTTTAGATTCAATGAAAATAGCTTATAAAAATGGAAGTATTGAGCTTTAGGATAAATGGATGTGGCTTGCATATTTTTTATGTCTGAAAATAATTTTCATATTACATGTAAATTGGCCATTGACCACCAAAAGGTGTGAAATTCTTCTTGTTAATTTGATTGAATCTATAATAAGCAACTTGTCGGAAGTTGAAATGAAGGCATTGGTACTAGAATGAATTCAGTGTTAGTGTAAAGAGCGCACTTATCCGTAATACTCAAGAAAAAAAAAATAACTACTTCCATTAATAAACTTCATATCATCATTATATACAAGAATAACTAATAATTGAAAGTTTTTCTACAATTTTTGATATCAAATGTTTAATTTTAGATAGAAAACTACCTTGGATATTTCAATTATATAGCATAATGATACCATGAAATCCTATTATTATTGATATGCGAAAACAACAATGAAAATAATTTAACTTTTTGTAAGAATATAACTATGGATCAACGTTACAAACGGTAGCTTCATTATTGTGTTGATGCGAATAATCTATTTTGGGAACTCTTCTAAAACAACTCAGTTGTACTTATTGAAAAAATATTTAATAATTACTTTAAAGCAATACGTTACATTTTTATGTATCAATTCAATGTATGTACATTGATGTTGTCTATATTTTTCATACTTTTATCGAAACTGTATTTAACTTTAAGACTCGAAAAGTCAGCTTCGTTGCCATTTTAATGTGTAACTGTAGAAACAAATAGTCACGCACGATTAGATCATTCATATCATCAGTTTGTACATGGAAAATCGTATACGTTTGTTAGTACACTGATAGTACAGACTAAAGCTAATTTTTCATCGCAGTAATTTTATTAAGTTGATGCGATATTCGCATATTTCTGGTATGTACGGGTATGTGTATAAGTATGATTTATTTAGATATCTATCTATATTTTTTAACTCGTAATTTTTATTAGTTCCTACTTTAAATTCGTACAATAATAACTGTGGAATAATGTATGATAACAGTAATTCATTTTTCCCTTGAATTGTTCAATGAAGCAACGTATTTCATGTATCGTATCTTTATCAGTTTGTATTCTTAATACATTTTTATTTCACATGTCGTATGTTCCTAGAATATCGTATTAACTTTTCGGGAAAAACATTTATTAAATATAGACTTTACTGAATCGTTGCCGTAGTCAGAAGAATAATAATATAGCGAAATTAAAAATATATTGAAGTTTTTGTTGCATTCTTATATTCTTTAAACATTTTTTCAATGGTTAATTCATTTAATGACCTGAAAAAATAAGTTATTGAAACTTTCTTGTTTATATCTTGAAATACGAATTTAATCGTAGTAGATTCGATAACATTAAATGAACATTCATCATTTCAAATAAATATTGATATTCTATCAATTACTCTTTAATTAAGTAAAATGATAATAATTGGTTTTGCTATTTTCATTCAATCTATTCAGTATCTGTCTGGTATCAACTGATTTTCTGCTTTACAAATATCATTAAAATTATCATACATACACGGATATACGTAGATACTTAACTAATTCTGTTAGACAACTAGATGTATAGCTTACGATATATTTACAAAACATTGGTACGTCTCATTGACAACAAAACTTGACAGTAATAATTACAATAAGCTTATTGTATAAGGATAAGTTGTAAAGTATTTAATTCGTATCTAATTGCGCAATACATTTTATTTTCCAAATGCAACCTAGATTATGCTAAATCATGTTTGAAATTGACATTCAAGTCACTGTTTTCAATTCATGAAACGGTTTAGTTAGATTTATAAATCATTCGTAACTCTTACATTGATTTCTAATTAATATCAATTTACAAATGATCCTTTATCTCTGAATTTTATCACACATTTTCAACTTGATTTCAGAGTAGAGCCGTGAATTATGTTTAAATATATTATAAAGTACTGTAATGCATATGAAGGCATTTTATTTATACACAATAAACAGTGTGAGAAATTCGGTAAAAAATTGTTATTTTCCTGTTTATTTAAAATTCTAAAGAAAAATTTTATACATACGCACGTAGTATGTAAAACCGAGTTGATAACAATCAATGCTGAATACGCTATTACCAATGTGGTAATCCATTTTTGCTGTAATTGATCATTATGTAAAATGGAATCTAATATGGAAATCGTGTACTTTTTGAACTATTTTTGAATTAAATTAAATTAAATAAACTGTTATTTCTATGATTCTACATTAATGTTTTACACTCGTAATCACGTAGTATTCAACTGGTTTTCCAGCTTTTCGAAATCAAGTCGAATCTTACAATCAATATCAAAACCATGTGTTGCACATTAAAAATACTTATTTAAAAAAATCATTTACCATAAAACTAAAGCAAAGCAATTATTTGCATAGTTTGATAACCTAGACATATTTCGAAATCATTTTTTATGCAAAAAAAACTGATATTTTATAATTTTCAATTAAAAATCTAATTCGAAAATTCTTCGTAGCTGAAGCATCATGGTAGCTCCATTTTTATAATTGGTAATGTAGGAATAATCTAAATGTATAAAATAATGACTACACAAATATTCAATTTTACAATATTACACTGCTTCTATACTCGTGACTATTATCATAGGTAATTTTGTAGAACAAATGACCTACCATACAAAGAGCACTTTCATAAAAATTAGTTCATCTGAATGAAGTGTTTTCTTAAAAGAAACTGTCTTTAATTTATGAAATATAAATTCAAAGCCTAACATACGTTCTAATTTTGTTATTATTAAAAAGTATCAAAAACTTTAATTGTACCAGCTATCGATTCCATATTTTGAAAAGTAACTTTTTCTTACTAATAAGTATTGTAAATAAACGAATTTCATGGTGAATTCACTACTCTAATTTGTAGTGAAAGAATATACAACATGTTATAGATTCATTTTTGTTGATTAATTTGGTATTTCACCAATTTTTGTGGAGATCGTTTGGCATTTTACTAAAATTTTTCTAATTAAAAACAAAAAAATAAAGAGTTGTACGGTTCTAAAAATAAAAGTCTCTTATAACTTTAAAATCGACCAAAAATATCTGACTAAATTTTCCAAGACTTTCAATCATTTAGTGTTCAAGTCTCTCATTTTGCAAGCTCCTGAGAAATTCATATATTTCATAATTCATTGCACGACTCCCCGCCATCTTGTAATCACGACTTGATTCATCTGTACCAGTTGATGCGTGGTATACTTGTAGTTTATTTATCTATATGTAATATTTACAATGCCACGTGTTGATACTATAAGGTAACTCGTCGTATACATTTCGTTTCGCCTCGATTATCGAGACACAAAGAACTCGAATCGTTGCACTGACGAACGAGATAATTGTCATTTCACTATGCTGAATATATATGGTATACTACTTAATGTTTAACAAAATTTAAAAAATGATAATTTCTCCTCTTGTGCAAATATAAACTACTATTTGCTTCTCAAGAAGGCTTATTCGGCAATCATCCACCAACGAACATCTGGGCTGCAAATGCTTACATCTACCCAGGTTTTTCAAAAACAGTTGGTAATTGAAAGTTCGTCATATGGATGGATTACGTTGGAATCTTGTTGAGAAAGTGTACTTTGATAAATGAAAACAAAGGGAACAAATAGAATTTTAATTTCCAACGCAGCGTCTTTTTAATAAACGGAGCTGTACTCGATGTCGTGGGCATACTGGGGCGGTGGACCCGCAGGCGGCTGAGGACTGTACTGTTGCTGCTGTTGCTGCTGCTGCTGTTGCTGTTGAGAATCGGATGCTCGACGCCTGAGGGCAGCAATGCTGTGGGCCCCCCGCCAGTCGGTGGTGTCGGTGCTCTCACACGAGTTGGCGCCGTTGTTGTTCGGCGTGACGGGCGCACTTCCGGTACCGTTGCCACCGCCTCCACCACCAGACGGCGAGTTCTGGCCACAGCTCAAGCTCGAGCCCAGCGCTCCGGCGCCGGCACTGCTCTGGCTCGTTGCGCCGCTCGATGTGCCAGCTCCAGCACCGTTGCCTCCTCCTCCGCCACCACCGGTGCCGCTTGGCGGAGACCCCCGCGATGCTGACATGTGCACGCCGCCTACCAATTCGTGGGAAATTATTCGATCATTGTTTATCCTTTTCGTACTCTGAAGTTTATTTCAATGCAAATCTCAATAATTTTGCTTGCAAATCAAAGTAATTTCGTTGAAAGAATTATAAGCAAAATTTTGCTAAAGTAGTGCATTCCATGAGAGTTTACTCTTCTTTCAGTTAAACTTTAAAATATTCACAATAAAATACTATAAAGTATGAGTCGAATTCAAACTGGGGTATACTTCTTCAGATAAGAATTGTGATCGATCAAATAAATTTGGTGTGTTCGCAAAGTTACCTTTTGTTGCTAAGCTAGGTCCATTGTATCCGTTCCCTTGGCAGAACCCCCAGCCTCTTTCCGATGCTGCAATTTGATATACAGGTCCATGTTTTGTTAAGTTCTCTAGTCACCGATCATCTGAAATTTATTTTACCAGAACGTATTGACTCATCATGGTGTCGATTAAATTTCAATTCACAATCGCTTATTCTCATAATGAAGATTTTCTATAAAAAATTTAAATTTGTCATAAAATTCAGAACGAATGTAATTAAAAAGACTAATCATAGTATTCACTTGATTGTGTCAAGAAATGTAATCATCTTTGCAATCAGAATACGTTCTTGTAAATTTGCTTTCAGATTATTGAGAAAGATTTTTCTTTTGAGATATAATAAAAAGTACAGTAACATGAACATTCATAATAGCCTAGCTTAGCATTCCGTGAAACTTTGTGAACACAATGAAAAAATGTTCTAAAATGATAATCTTATAAAATTGTTATACGTGCTAAAACTAAAGTTTTGCATAAAATGCTATATTCCATAAAATAATCTGGTAAAAATTTTAAACACAATATAATACATAAAATCTAAGAAATTACGACTGTGCTTAAAGCAGCACACTTTTTCTCCATTTCCCCATTCAAATGAAGCCAGCAGCAAATAAAGTCATAATGCGTTCTCGGAACTAAACTAAAATGCCGACAAGGTATATATACGCTCACGCATTAGCACTAATACATGCCAGTGCGGAACGACGGAGCGGTGCAAAGTGCATAGAAGATAAGCAACCATTCCGTGGCTACCGTCCGATCGTAAAGCGCAACCTTTTTCTCGTCTATACTGCTGGCTCGGACGCTCGACCTGCGTTTGTCTGTTTAGGCCCCGGTCCCATAGGTACGTACGGATGCGGACGGATACGGATCACTAAAAATATCTAGTTCGATTATTTAGTACCAACACTACCGGTAGTGAGCAAAAGTGACTGTTGCTTAAAACTGTAGCGCCGAACGTACCACATTTAATTAACGCCTATCTAACCTTTACATTATTGCAGTCTATAAGATGGCAAATGATAGAGAATTGATAGACTTTCAACTACAATTAGTGGAATTAGGCCTTAATTTTATGGAAGTACTTGAATATATGAGAAGAAGAAGAAAATATATATAAATTATATGTATTAATCATCCCAAAAACTTTTTTTACATTAGCATACTCATCAATAAGCAATATTCATGAAAATTTGAAAAGTAAATTGTAGACCTGAGATTTGAACATTAAATGTGGTACGTTCGGCGCTACAGTTTTAAACAACAGTCACTTTTACTCACTACCGGTAGTGTTGGTATTAAATAATCGAACTAGATATTTTTAGTGATGTTACTACAGTTGCGATTCGCGTCCGTATCCGTCCGCATCCGTACGTACCTATGGGACCGGGGGGACCGGGGTCTTATCCCCGCCTGCCTGTCAGATTGCCGTTTTTCTCATTCACTTCTTTTCTTTTACTACTTCAAAAAATTCATAAATACGTCATTGTAACATTTGAATTTTGTATTTATTCATTTATTTATTATTGTATTAAAGTATGAAATAAAAGACGATCGTAACCTTAAATACTTTGAAATATCTCATCAGATTTGTCATTCTTACAAATTAGCAGGGTCTATCCGTTGGATAATTGACATTTTGTCTTAAACTGTGGCTCCGAAAATCCTGATGTCATGTGCAGGCGCCTCTGGCACACACAGCCGATTTCAAGTTTATGTATCCAATTGTCTTTGGAATTTTTGGCTTCTTTACTTCTTTTCTCTCATACTATTTTTAAAAGAGAGTAAAGATATTTAAGCATAGAGCAAGAGGACGTTTACAGTGGATTCGGTGGCGTTTCATACATCGTGAGTTAATTGGCACCTTGTAGAGACGCTTGAAGCACGAGTGAGCAAGAGCCACGGGTGTTAATTATTATTGAAAAGTGAAAAATGAGTCCTACTCTAAAAGTTGTTTGTACGTTGTGTTACCGTGCAAAGGTAAGTAGCCTCTCGTTTTCAGTTTTTTGTACACTCTTAGGAACTCCCAGAAGTCGAAATGTTTTCAGGTTTTTATCAGTATATCGAACTTTGACCGGATCAAGAATATTCATAAATTATTTTTAGCTATTTTCGTATTTTTTAAATGCTTGAGGTTTAAAATAATTTCGACAGGTCATTGTACCCATGGAATCATCCAAAAAGATCCGATTAATAATTATTCGGAAATTCTAAAATGAAACACCCCGAATATTCAAATCATTCACAAAAAGTCATGACTGTTCTGTATTTTTTCTTTGATATATCGTATTATCTGCTTCTCAAGTATAGCTTTAACGTTATAATAGATGATAATTGGCACTGCAAGGTGTCAAAGATGCATTTTGCGTATGCGTTGGTCCAGTTATATGTAGGTTCTTCCCTGTGCAAATATCTTGAACTTATGACGAAAAAAATCCTACTGGTATTGCAAAATTTATTACTCGACTCTGAATAACAACCCTGGAATTATTAATAATGATGCACTATGTTGTCTAGTGATATTGTTGTTCATCTAATACTTGTATTTTCATTTTTATAAAAGAAATTATCACTACTGTAATCTAAGAAAGTCATGCCAACCTTTTTTTAATATTAAACATTTGAAATAAGTTTACGAAAAGTTAATCTCGCAATTAGAACAACGAAAACTATTTGTTGTGAAAACAGACAGACAATAGCGTGATTAATATGACAAAGTGAGTATTAGAAAAGTCTCGAAAAATTGAAAGGTCCTGCACGAGCGGCCGTAAGATCTGATGAGATACTTGGAATGAGACGAAAGTATAGTCATACTTGCACATGGACATGTGGCAAGCCCGCACGCAGCCTCCCTCCGGGGCTCGCCCAAGACAGGTTGCATCTCGAGACGTTCTCGCCGGTAAACAGACTCGGTGAACGCGTATACCAAGCGCGAGAGTCCGAGATCTCGCACCTAGGTGCGACCACCTTGAGCCTCTGGCTCCACGAGACCGAGCAAATACACGAGGTCGCGCGCGCTTCGCTTCATTGTTTTTCCGTCTCGAATTCTCGCCACTCGTTCTCTTGCTCGACGCACACATGTACACCGAAAACTTTAAGTGTGCGTGTGCTTGTGCTCGCAATGACGACGCGCTCGAATTTTGTTGCTTGCCAGATCAGGGAGCTCCGTGGTTTTGAAAGAACCCGAACAAGTTTGACGTGCATCTGGAAGATTGATTTTTCGAATCATTTTTAATATTATTCGACACTGTAATTTCACAACCGAACCTAATTAGTCGATCAATATGTACACGAAAACCCCTAATCGAATAAAAATGTTACAAGCGAGATCAATAGTCAAATCTTGATGGTACTCTGCTCGAATAAGTTCAATAGTGAAATTTCACAAAGTAATAAATTGAATTTTCAAAACTGCTCGTAATTTGGAATGATAATAATCTCGACTGCACACTTTGTAAAATACGGAAGACTATTTGCTTTTTTACATTTTATTAAAGTGTCAAGAAAATGAGGTGTGAAATATGTAAAATGTCCAGTAATAAAATGCACAGAAAGATTTTATTTCTTTTAAATATTCTTTTACAATCACAATGTCTTTTCTAATGCAGTTTAAATGATTGTCTGGAGGATTGTTAAGAATAATAATGACATTGCAATTCAATATTTAAGGAAATATCTTACTGTAACTAAATAAACTTCAATGTAGAAAAAATCAGACAAAGATATTGTATGGTCAATCAGTATCTTGCTTTCGAATGAATAGACACATAGACAAAAAATGTAAAATGAGCTGTACGCAATAAGAACTATGTCGTGAGATTACATTCCGTAGAATTTTTAACTGTCCAAAGAAACGATTGAAGAAGTGAAACGAAAAGTTCTCACGGGCGTTAATGTGACATTACAAATGGAGACAAAAAAAGCAAAAGATGCTCGAGGCGCGAAGTCTCACATGCAGAGAGAAGACTCTCGTTAGCAAGAACTCACCTAAAGAATTGAGCCCGTAGCTCGCTTGATAGACCGTCTGTGATGGACTACTGATCAGCTGCCCACTATTGCTGAGGCCAAGACTCGTGCCCAGGCTACCTGAACTTTGCTGGGCAAGTTGGCCTAAACTCTGACCAAAACCGCCCATGCCCATACCGCTTTGACTTAGTTGGCCGAGACCTGTCCAACAGAAATGAAGGCTTGATTTTACATTTGTTTCTTTTTTAATCATTCTTACTCAAGTAGATATTTCTTGCGTTAAAAAATACAATAAGTTTCAGTTATATTTGCAATCCCATTGAAACAATCACTTCATAAAACTTGATTAGAACAAGTTATATTTGAAAATACTGTGCCATCCGTTGCTATAAAAAAGCGCTTTGATTAATCATATGCAAGTCGATATTTAAAGATAATTCAACACTTTTATTTTAAATTAGATTGCAATGGCTGTTTTAACGAGATGAGGATAGTTGATGTAGTTATTCATCTGCCGCGGTAACTTTATACTGATGAAGTTCAAACATGTAAGCAAAGTATACTAATTTGTTGCGTTGAATGGTTTTTAATACCCGATAACGAAGTTTGAATACCTCTTGAAACAGGCAATAGAATTATGCACACATAATAAATGTAAACGATATTTCCATTAACGCGTATCTAAAACTTTATTACGTCTAATTGACAAAACAACATAGTAAAGTGCATCCGCATGCAAAAGCTTTCAAACTTGTTGAAAAATTTACTATGAAAACAAAGGGACGCATCAATGAACAGGAACTTTTACTGGTAAAACAAAGTACAACACGCGCGAATGAAGGCAAAGGAGCAACAAGCCGAAAAAATGTTTTATCAAGTAGCAGCTGGTGTGCCGATCCAATGTAACAGAGTGTAGAGAAAGAAGGAAAACGAAAGAGCTAAAAGCCTTTTGAAATATTGAATGAATGGGTAGGGAGGAGATGACCGACCTGGAGCCATTCCCCATCGATCGGTCGGCGCGTGGAACATGGAGGTGCCACAGAGGTCGGAGCTCACCGCGCCGAACGGCGGCAGTCCGTGCGACGGCAGCAATGCGCCTGGCGATCTGAACACGTTTGTCGTCTTCTTGCGCTTCTTCCACTTTGCACGACGATTTTGAAACCAAACCTGCAAACGTACATATCGTTTACAATCACAACAATGAGTCTTCGATAAACCGAATGAAAAATACATATCAATTTTCAGAGCACATCTCAATACTCAATATTCGCAAATACCTCTAACTCGTCAAGCGGAAAATACATATCCGTGTAATGCACAATCTTTTTAAGGACTTTAGTAGAGGACACTTACTTTTACGTTCGAGAGGTAAAAGTAATACTCATAGAGATACCTGCTCCTATAGACAAATATCAGAAGTTCGCGAATTTGAATGTGGCTTGAAAAATTGGAGGTGGTAGCTTGTTTGCTTAACTTGTTGGAAATGTTTTTTTGTTCAAATAACCCGATCAACAGTATATTTTATTTGTTTTGAGAAAATCTGATTGTGCAATAGGTAACAAATTGAATGAAGCATTGAACGGTACAAAGAAATATATACATACTAATGTTCAAAATTAGCACCAACGGTAACAGAAATAAAGTTATACTTTTATTCATTAAGAATCTTTTGTTGAATTCCATATAATACAAAGTCTGAATTAACGAGCCTGTAAAACGTTATGAGTTGCAGCTACTGCATTGGATCAATGTACTGTTGCTATAGTACTGAATATTGATACAGAAAAGAATATAATTCTTATTTGTCGGCAACCGACAATCAGAATAAAGCGAAAAGTACTTGAATGCTTTCTAAAATAAGCAGTTTAAAACATATTTCAAAAGCTGCCAATGAACTCAATAGAAATATCTGAAGTTCCATGAACTGACAAAAGTCAATCAGTGCCGAATAGATGGAGCGCGGGTGCGCGAGTCGCTTGGGCAATTTCGCGTGTGAAGAAAAACGAGGTATGTCGCAAAGCAAGCAAACCAGAAATATAAAGGCCGCGTGTCCCTTGGCATTAGGACAATATCTTAGGACCATTAGTCGGTGGAGGAAGGGATGGCGAGCTGCGCCCGGCAGCTATTAGCCGTGGCGTTATGAGCTGTTGATTCTGGCCACGTAGTGGCCTCCCCCTGCCTCTATAAGCCGTCGACTTGATTTATTGATATCGCATGCAAAGCCTACAACGTTCGCTCTCTCTCTCTCTCTATCTGCCTTCTATTTCTCGCCTACTCACCCACGCACACACTCACACGGAGAATCCAAACTTCTCTCCATCTCTTCTGCTACGTGGCGTAGCATCGCCGCAACGGCGACGACAGTAGTAGCGCCCATAAATTAGTACTTTGACATTAACGCGCGCGCATGCTTCGTTCAGTCATCTGTTTCTTTTGCTTACTTTTGCACGCAAGTGTGTGTGCGTGGTGCGTACAAACGTATATCTACACCGCGAGCTTGTACGAGAAAAATTGACTCGTTCATGTACACGTAGATGTGTCGAAGACAGAGTCGGGATAGATGTATGTACGTGTAACACGTGACAACAAAGATGTCATATTAAAAGGAACTATTGCTTAGTGGTGTTCCCTCAAAGCAAATATCTCTGTGTGTGAAGTCTTGTGCTCGTGCGGCTCAGCTGGCAGCGATATCGCGTATGAAACCCCTGTTACAACGTATCACACGGATTATGCGAATACAATTGCCAAACTCGTAAGATTGCTGTTCGGGATCGAATCTTTGCTCTTACGTACTTTCAAGCGTTCATTGTTGAGAATAAGTAGTCATCGAACCGCTTCCGTTGTTTCTTGAAAAAATTTACTGATTTAGAAAGTCAGTAAGAAGCATTAACAATAGCACCATTAACATTTTTAGAATATAAAAAAATAGATGAAAGCTATATGAAATTACCGTAGAACAAAGGATTCAAAGATGTATAACGTGCAAGGTAAAAAATTCTGTGAAATCGGCAAAAAAGATCGAAGACAATCGGCGTCCGTTCGAAGGAAAGCAACAGACTCGACCAATCATCGAGTCGTTTATCGAGGAATTAAAATTGAGGTGTGTGATCTAATCGCCGACGCTTGTATCGCAGCCCTTGTACTGTAGACCAACGGGTGGGCGTGTCGTTCTTGTATTTCACTGCGCGCAACCCCACATGCTTTCGTGACCCGGCGAGCAGCTCTCTTTCATAGTTCTGGCTCTGACGGCTGCTTATCATCGAATAATGCCACACCGCGCACTTCCTTAATTTGTTCGTTTCTTGCTCATGCAACTGACGGTTAAGCTTCTGCTTTACACTTAAAGGTGAGGTCGGATAGGTCTGATGTAAGGTCGGTCGATAAATTATTTCGATAGTTTTCAAATAGCTTACTTTTCTTAATCGTTATTCACTTGGTTGTATTTTATGATGTATCGTTCACATTTAGAAAATAATTTTTTTTAATTACGAGTGAGATATCGTTGTTCTTTCGAAAATTCATTCAATAAATTTACTAAATTTCTACACAAGAAAATTTGAAGATTATTTTTTAATCTTACGAGATATTATAAAAAGTTTATTGATTTATTTAAAATATATTATTTGAAAAGGAATAAAAAGTTTCTGTAATTATTGGCACTATCAAGTGAACAGCTTTACTAGGGCAGATGTTTCAATTGCATGTAACACCTGGCTACGTTTTCTTTGCCGAATCATGTATATGACAATTTATATTTTTCAATAACATAAATATTTTTTCCGAAAATAGTAATATTGAGTAAACGAAATCCATAACAATGAAAAAGTAATAAAAGTAAAATAAAAAGTCACGGGCTCTTAAAAAATCGATCAAATTCCATTATCTACTTACAACTTGGCGCTCTTGCTAAAGTAAGCATTGATATTAATAAATTGTCCCAACGTTATAATCATGAGGCCAATCGAAGTGTTCGTTGAAAATAAAGATGGCAATCTAGGACCATCATAACTAACCAGTTATTAAATAAATTTTTTCATTCGCTTTTTAAGACTGAAAAAGCATATTAAGATAATTAAAATCTTGCAAATTAATATTCTAGTAATGAAATCCTCAGAACCCAAACGTAGGAAATCAAATTAGAGATAATTTTTCTATAGGTCTACAGATAGCATATAGATATATTTGCAACTACTTTACATACGTGGAAAAATCGACTATTGAACACTGTAAAAATTTACCATAACAAATTATTTTATGCGATTTCATCAAATTCAATTCTCTTTATTTAGTAAATTTTTATATAGTCACGACAAGAATAAATCGTTCTTGACTATTTCGTAACAATAGAGTAGTGAAGAATAAATGCATTAATTTAAAAGCCTACTAAAAAGATATACTCAGTTATAAGATGACGCTGATATAGCTTGGCATCATGATCTTTCGTCAAAGAAAGCTAGCGCTCCGTCTTCAATATATCAAGGTGGCTTCTCAAGAAGATCTTTTCGTGAGTGGCTTCGGATTCTCGCGCCCAATGGTTTTTCAAGGGAGAAAGAAACGCTCGATGACGACAAACTTTTAGCCGTTTTATCTCTTTTCCGATATTGAGAGTACCGATGAAGAAAGCCGAATCCTATTGCGAAGATAGATTTTATAGTGAAACTTTGCGATCGAACCTTGAGCTTATTTTCACCAATACCGTTTCGACAGTGTATCGCATTAATTTTTCGTGGCCTATAGAGCTATTTAATTTCCTATAGAGGTATTTGTAATTTCCAATAGAAAAGTATTTTTAACTTAAAATTAAAAGTTCAAGAAAAGCAAACAATTCCTCACGATTATTAATTATTAGACAATTTATCGGCTGATGGCTTTTATTTATTTAAATTCACCGTCTATTGCAAAACAAACGAAGTTGTTTGGTCAAAAGTGCAGGTAAACATGAAAAAAATAGTAATTCATGGCTGCTCGGCAGCTTCTAAGTGACATGATTGCGATAAGAGCGCGTGATTTTCATCCAACAAGTGTCGAAGAAGATAAAGGTCAAGAAGTCCGAAAAAGGGAAAGAGAAAGAAAACAGCGCTGAAAAAGAAAGATGGCTATGTGACCTCGAGGCAAGCAGGCAGGCGTTAGAGCGACATAATGAAAATAAATACTGTATAAACTTGCGGGTCGAGCAATAGCCTCTGATTGATGATCAGAGCCAGGGGTCGCGCGCGCGCGAGAGCTCTTTTTTTCGGAGGGGTCGCCCGCAGGCGCAAAAGACGCATTACCTAACCCCCTCGGACCACCTACGGCACCAGCCGGCTTTATACGTGTTTCTGTGCGCGGCTATATACTTTGCTTTCCTTCGCTGCTGTTGCAGCTGTTTGCGGATGGTATTAGCTTCTGACTTTATACGATCATCGCATTGATTCACGCTTTGGTAATTTTCTAATTTGATGCCGGCGACCCAGTAATTTCAATAGAATATATACGCTTATTTGATATTTTCGAGCGATGTTTGTCGTAAATTGCATTATCCGTTAACATTGTTTACTTAACTACTTACAATTTAAGTCAAAAAGGAATATTAAAAACATTAATTAATAAAGATTACTACAAACTCAAACTATTTATCATTAAAAATACTTTATGCCTATAGCTATAAATGGTTTTAGTTTACAGCTCGGCAAGATTGAAATAAACTGATATGTCATAATAATAACATAAATCATCACGGTAAAAATACGAGTTTACAAAATGACAGTTCTCCAAGTAGGACCTATGTATAGTAGAAAGACTCAAACAAGTCTTTGTGAAAATCAACTTCTTTTTAAAAGAGTATATTTTTTTCATACTGATGAAATTTTTCTTGTTACACGAGGTTTTTGAGTGATTCGTACCCAGACTTTATTTTTTCAATAATATAGTATATTTGACGTTTTGAAAAACGTCACTTAACTTCGTTTGTTTTGTAATAGGGATCGTTCGTTTTTTAAAACGTCAAATATACTACATTATTACGAGTTGAACTACAATCAAACTTCATCGATAAATTAAACTTGTAAACGATTTAATTTTTATTCACTAAAGAAGGAATACTAATAAAAATGTGACGTTGCAGATTATAAGTAATCAACCTCCGGAACTCCACTGCTATCAAAACAGATGAAATTCCGATGTCGTTT